TCCATGTAATAAGTCTTTGACTGAAACACAGTCATCTGCCCAACAATATCTTTAAAGTCCTGCGTGCCACCATAGCTCAGTGGTTAGAGCACTGGTCTTGAGTCGCGAGTCCTGGTTTACAAGACCAGTGCACTGGTCTCTGGCTCGCGAGTTCAATCCTCACTGGTGGCTTATTTGAAGAAATCAATTTTTTTTTATAATCGATAGCGCTTCTATGTAATAAGACTTCAGAGTGAGACACAATCTTGAGCGGAACAATCTTTTTAGAGTCCTGTGTGCCACCATAGCTCAGTGGTAAGAGCTCTGATCTTGTAAACCAGGGGTCGTCAGTTCAATCCTCACTGGTGGCTTATTTAACGAAAACTATTATTTTTAATGGACAGCGCTTCTATGTAAGAAGACTTCAGATGAGACACAATCTTCAGCCGAACAATCTATTCAGAGTATTGTGTGCCACCATAGCTCAGTGGTTAGAGCACTGGTCTTGTAAACCAGGGGTCGTGAGGTCAATCCTCACTGGTGGCTTATTTGAAGAAATCAATTTTTTTTAATAATCGACAGTGCTTCTATGTAATGAGCTTCTATGTCTTTGTGTGAAACACAGTCATCTGCCCAACAATCTCTTTAAAGCCCTGGGTGCCAACATACCTTAGTGGTTAGAGCACTGGTCTTGTAAACACTCCAAAGCTCAAACCGCAGAGCCATGGTGGTACGCAGTGACTGTAATATTGATTGTCATCTGACTGAAAATACCTAAGACGTTGTTAGAGAATGTCGCTGTGGACAATAACAAAATTGTATTCGTCAAATAAGCCACCAGTGGAGATTGAACTCATCGACCCTGGTTTACAAGCGATCCAGTGCTCTAACCACTGCAGCTGGTGGCAACACAGTACTCATAAAAGATTGTCTGAGATTGATGTGTTCTTCAAGCTTCTTACATGTGAAGCTTCGATTATAAAAAATAAGTGTTTTCAACAAGTCCACCAGTGTGATTGAACTTCACGACCCTGGTTTAGGCAAGACCAGTGCTCTAACTTACTGAGCTCAAGTGGTGGCAATACAGTACTCTAAAAATATTGTTTGTCAGGGATGAGTGTGTTTCAGCACAAGACATAGAGTTTGCCCACATAGAAGCATTATCGATTGTAAAAATGTATTTTCTTCAAAAGCCACCAGTGAGAGTTGAACTCACGACCCTGAGTTTACAAGACCAGTATCTAACCACTGGAGTATGGTGGCACACAGTACTCTAAAAAAGATTATACGTGAAGATTGTGTCTCATCTGGAAGGCTGATACAGCTAGAAGCGCTGCCCTATGTACACCTTATCTTTTTCGCTCAAAAAGTTATATTAGTAAGGGATTGAAACTCGCACGAACGCTGGTTTACAAGCTCGAGTGCTCAACCTCTGAGCTATGGTCGCACGCAGTACCATAAGAGATAATGGCAGATGAATGTGTTTCTTTCAAAGACTTATTACATAGAGTTCTCTTCGATTATAAAAAAATTGATTTCTTCAAATCAGTTCACCAGTAAGATTGATTGAATCACTCTAGGCTTTAAAGACACTGTGCTCATAACCATGCGAGCTACATGGTGGCATGGCAAGTACCGGTAAAGACATTCTGGTTTTTGGCTTGAAGAGCTGTAAATAGTCTCTAAGCTTCAGTTAAATAGAAAACGCTGTCGGAATATTAATCAAAATTGATTCAAAAGCCAAACCACCAGTGAGGATTGGAACTCACGACCCCTGGTTTATACAAGACCAGTGCTCATCCCACTGAGCATATGGTATACGCACGTTTCTCAAAAAGATTGTTCGGGCTGAAGATGTCTCATCATGAAGCTCTATGATAGGCGTCCATTAAAAATAATGGCGTTTTTACCCGGAAATAATGCCACAGTAGTGATTTGAACTCACGAACCCTGGGTTTACAAGACCAGTGCTCTAAATCCACTGAGAGCTATGGTGGAGCACAACATATTCTAAAAGATTGTGCTAATTGAATGTGCTTCTTCAAGACTTATTACTAGAGCTCTTTTTCGCATTAAAAAAAAATTGATTTATCAAATAAGCCACCAGTAAGATTGGAACTCACGAACCCTGGTTTACAAAAAGCCAGGCTCTAAACCCGAGCATGGTCGGCACGCTAGGACCATAAAGAGATTGTTGCGATGGATGTGTTTCCAAAGACTTATTACATGAAGCTCTCATGATTAGTAAAAAAAAATGATTCTTCAAATAAGCGCCAGTAGATTGAATTAATGACGACCGTGCTCAGAAGACTCGTCAAATCCACGCAGAGCCTATGGTGGTACGCCAGACTCAAGTGATTTAGAGCTGTTGACTAGAAAATATTCTAAGACTATTAGATAGAAACGCTGTGGACAATAACAAAATTGTATTCGTCTAAACAAGCCACCAGTGAGAGTGAACTCACGACCCTGGATTATGT